GGGCCGGGGGCGGCCAGGCCGGCTGGGCTTGGGACTGGCTCTGCGGCCGGAAAGCCCTAGGGGCCGGCCCCGGCGGGTCCCACTGGTCAGCCCTCAGGGCTCAGGGACCCCAGCCCCCGCCTGAGAGGGCTTCGGCGCCCCTCGGGAGTGGCCCCCGCTGCCGCCTCAGCTTCCCTGTGCCCCTGGCTGCCCCCGGCCGGAGGCCGCAGGCGTAACCGCCTCTACCTGGGGTGCGGGCAGGCTGCCCGCCCAGGGGCGGGCGCACCGGACGAGCGTGAGGGCCAGAGCGACTTATCGAGCTGTCAGGGGCAGCGTTTTAAGACAGAATTATAGGGGAGAGGGAAAAGATTTTTACCAAATTAATGAAAAATCAATCTGGCCTCAAAAATCCATTAGCCTTTATAATGCGCCGGGTACACGGTCCGATAGCGGCCGTTAAACACCGCGGCCGCCCGTCACCCCGTGCTCCGTGCTGCCGAGAGGGCCGCCCCCCCAGGGCCCCCCAGCCCGTGTCACCCTCTCCCCGGCAGCAGGGGCGGGGCCCGCGGCGAGGGCGCGCTCTGGGGTGCTCTGCGCCCACAGGGTGGGGCGCTGTGCTGGAGCCTTTGCATGGGGGGAGCCCCGCACTCCCTCCCTGGCCGCCCCGGGGGGCGCGGCGCGGGCCGGGGGGCTGCGGTCTCAGGGCCAAACCCCAATCATTAGTGGTGCCGGCGGGGCGCAGCGTGGCCAGGGCCGAGCCCTGTCTGCGGTCTGCGGGCGGCCTGGCCGCCTGGCTCCAGAGACTCCCAGACCCCCCCTGCTCCTGACAGTCCCTCTGGTGCCCTGTGGTCAGCAGGAACCCGTGGGCCGCAGGGGGCCGGGCCGAGCAGACCCCATGGTGGTGGTGCCTGCTGGGCCAGAGGCCACAGCCCTGGTCCAGCTCCCCTGCCCAGGGAGCCTGCACCTGCCGGCCTGGGTCCCTCCACCAGCAGCAGAGAGCGGCCTGGACTCGCTGCCCCGCCCGCCCCAGGGCAGCTGCAGGGACCCGCGATCCTGGCGGGCCTCTCTGCCCCTGTGTGCCAGGCCGGCCCTCGGGGTGGACAGCACAGCCTGAGCCCCAGTCCTGCTGAGCCAGCCGGGCCTGGCCTGGCCCGGCCCCAGCCTCCACACCCTGCCGTCTCCCCAGCGGCCGGGGGACCCCCAAGCCTGCCTGAGTGCCCCGTCTGACCTCACCCTGGGCTCCCAGGAGCCTTTGGGAGAGGGCCCCGAGGGCTACTGGACCAGACCACTCTGAGCCCAAGTGGGAAGAGGACACCCCTCACTGGCCCTCCCTGCCAGCCACCAGCCCGGGGCGTTTCCCGTCTTGTCCCGGGCCAGCCGAGGAGCTGACCATGGGGTCTGGCCACCATGCTGGGGCAGGGGGGTGGCCTGAGGCGGCACCAGGGCCAGGTGCTGGCCACATGAGCTAAGGCCAGGCGCAGGGGCGTTCCTGAAGGAGAGGCCCCACCCAGGGCCTGGCCAGCCGCCGTTGGGGCAGCAGTCTGTGCGTCCGGCCACGTCCTGGTCCTCAGGTGAGAGCCACTCAGGGGTCAGGACAGGTGGCCTCGGGCAGCAGACCCCGTGGCCCACCCATGGGGAGAGGCTCAGTCTGCAGAGGGCTCTGAGAGGCAGCAGCGAGCGACCCCCCCAACAGCCAGGCCAGGAGGCCCCCCCGGCCCTGTCCACTGCCCCCTCCCCACAGGAGCCTGGGGAGAGGCCAGAGGGGGGGTTCCCTGCCTGGCCTCCTGCCCCAGCCCCTCCAGCCTCCACCCCACAGGGCCCCCGGCAGAGGGCGGCCGGGACAGTGCCCAGGAGCGGCCACCAGGTGCCTTGGCTCTCAGGATGGGGCCCAGAATTGAGTCCTGTCAGGTAGCGACCGCCAACCCCATTCTTGGCAAGTCCAGGGTCCCGGACGCCCTGCACTGTTCAGCTGGCCCCAGTGTCCAGCTCAGAACTTGTCCCTCTTCCCCCTGGAACCAGGCAGGGCAGAGGTTCCACCCAGAAGGGGCAGGGAAAGCCAAGGGAGACCCCGAGAGTGGAGGGTTTGATGGGGGAGCAGAGGGTCACTATCGTCCAGTGATAAATTGATGTCTCCCGCACCGCCAGCAGCCAGCGAGCTCTAATGGGCCCCGAGGCCCTGGTCAGCAGCGCTGAGCTCAGCACCCCTGTGAGGCCGGGCGGGGCCCTCAGAGCTCAGCCCCGGAGCCTCCCGGAGCCTCGGAGGCGGGAAGGGGCGGCAGAGAGCCTCCGGGGTCCAGCCTGCTGGCCACCCCTCCCACAGGGAACTGCCCTCCCTTGGGCCCAGCGGCCCAGCAGGCCGGGAGGCCCACACCTCCTTTGGTCACCGGCCCGCGGGGTGCTGGCAGCTGCTTTCCCATCTGCCAGCTGGGGCGGGTGAGGTCCCAGGTCCCCACCGACCCCAGACCCGAGGGCCGCAGCCCCCCTTGGCCTGGATTGGGGTCCCAGCACCCCCCCGGAGGGTCCGGATTCGGGAGCGCCAGGAAGCCGGTCTCCAGGCAGGAGGGGCGCGGCCCTTCCCTCCCCAGGGCAGCGCAGCCTGGGTGGGCCGCGGGGGGGGGGCGCGGCTCCGGCTAACCCTGCCCACGGGGGCCCTGGCCTGGCGGGGCAGCAGGTGGGGGCCCCGGAGGCTGCAGGCGGTGGCCGGGCCTCCACTCGCTGCCCGGGGCTGAGAAGCGCCGGCCACCCCAGAGGGCTCAAAGACCAGCGTCGCCAGGCCGGACACTCTTGTTTTGAAACTGGTGGAAGGTCTGGAACCGCTGGGCCTCCTGGGTCTCACGTGGGGTTCCGGCTGCCCTTGGGCTCCGGCCCAGCCATAGAACCTGAGAGGGGCCAGCACCCCACCCTGGGGACCCGCCGCCTATCTCGGTGCCCCCACTTCGGCGGCACCCCGCCCTGGGCACCACCCCTGGGATTAACCCGGGAAGGGCGACGTTTCTATTAACCATTCCTTTATTGATGTCTGCTTGCTGGGTCAATGGCCAAATTTATTGTCTCACAAGATGGACTCTATCGAGCCAAGTCCACCCTGGCCCTCCCCCAGAGCCCTGGTGATGGACTCAGTCGATTTGCAGACCGCTGACCTTGGGCCTGCTGCCTCTGCTGGGGTGCAGCCCGCACGGAGGCGGGGAGTATGTGGGTCAGGCTGCGGGCGCCCCCTGCAGCCACACCCTCCTGGTCCAGCCAAGGGCCAGCCCAGTGGGAGGGCCGGAGGCCCCAGGGGCATCAGACCACCGCTGGGGCCCTGGTGAGCAGGTCAGCCGTGGATGGGGGCGGGGGTGGCCTGGGCAGGGCAGGCCACCGCCCGCTCCCCACCTGCTGTGCAGGCCTCAGCATAGGCTGAGCAAAAGGGCCCGCAGCCCTGGGACCGGGCACCGGAGGGACAGTGGACAGAGGCCTGAGGGGTGAGCTGCAGCCAGGGTTGGCTGGCCTTGGGGTGCTCTCTCCTGGAAGTCCTGTGGGGCTCACGTGGGGGGAGCACGTGCAAAGGTCCTGAGGCAGGTGCCCGCCCACCTTGGGCTGGACTGAGGGGAGGGGACGCTGTGGCCAGGGGCTGAAGGGGCAGAGTGACCCCAGTTTCCTCAGCTGCGCTGCGCCCATGGCCAGAGGGCACGTGCAGCCCGGCAGGGGCCTGACCCCGGTGGGGAGGCCAGGGGGCTGGTCAGTGGCTCGTCTGCCCTGCTGGGGCTGACCTCAGAGGCTGCA